GGGGAGGAAATGGGGATTTTGCAGTATCCTTCCCCTGGATTGGGGTGGGAATGGAGATTTATTTTTTTTTAATTTAATTTATATGCCGCCCTTCTCCGGAGACTCAGGGCGGCTTACAATGTGCTCAGCAATAGCCTTCATTCTTTTGTATATTTATACAAAGTCAGCTTATTGCCCCCACAAACTGGGTCCTCATTTCACCTACCTTAGAAAGGATGGAAGGCTGAGTCAACCTTGAGCCTGGTGAGATTCGAACCTGCAGTAACCTGCAGATTTTACAGTATCCTTCCCATGCCACGCCCACCAAACCATGCCCCACCCACCAAGCCACACCCACAGAACCAGTAGTAAAAAATTTTAAAACCCACCACTGCATCAGATTCCAATCATTTGGGATAGTTAAACTCCATTTCTTTTTTTGAGAAGCAGTGTGGAAACCAGATTGTAAAATTTCTGCAAATTCAGAAAAAGGACAGGCATCAGAAATTTACTTTTGAAAGACTCTTGTCCTAAGCACCATAATCCATTCACAATAAAAATAGACGAAAAAAAGTAGAGCAAAGCAGTGATTAAGGTACTGCCTAGAAACCAGCTGACGGGGAGTTCTACTCCTTAAGCATGAAAACTTTCTGGCTGGGGGATTCTCGGAGTTGAAGTCCACAAGTCTTAACGTAGGCAAGGTTGGACACCCCTGCATTAAATCCTGGAAGGACGTCCTCATTTTTGGTCTTTTCTCTTCCTATCAGGAGAACTGAAACTGCCAACGATTCAGAAAAATGTGAAGAAGCATAACCGGGATGATATCTCTTTGTTCTGTCTCGGAATCGGCTTTGATGTGGACTATGATTTTCTGAAGAGGTTGGCGACTGAAAACAACGGAGCCGCACAAAGGATCTTCGGGAATCAAGAGACCTCTTCCCAAATGAAGGTGACTTTCTCATCTGTAGAGTAAAGGAAGGGAGAAGGGAAGGAGAAATCCTAACCCGGCGCGTTCTTCTGACTTTTGAAAGGCTTTTTTCCAACCACAAACATAAGCCATGCTGTTTCTCAGTTCAAAACGCCGTTTATCTTTACGCCTTGGCGGCTTTCTCCCATTACAGATCTGTACCAGGGGTGAAATGCTACCGGTTCACACCGGTTCGGGCAATGAGTTCTAGTCCAACCTTAGGTATGGATCACTCTGGATCACGCTGGGTCAATCACCAGGAAATAATAAATTTTAGTCGCATTTTAGGCATGAAAGTCACCCAGCTGGCTTTCATGCCTAAGGTGGGACTAGAACTCACCATCTCCTGGTTTCTAGATGGTACTTTACCCACTACTCCAAACTTGTTCTACTTTTTTTCATTCTATTTTTATTGTGAATGGATTATAATCGGCGGTGAAATCCCAGTTTTTTTACTACCGGTTCTGTGGGCGTGGCTTGGTGGGCGTGGTGTGGCTTGGTGGGTGTGGCTTGGTGAGCATGGCAGGGGAAGGATACTGCAAAATCCCCATTCCCACCCCACTCCAGGGGAAGGATACTGCAAAATCCCCATTCCCTCCCCACTCCGGGGAGAAGGATATTATAAAATCTCCATTCCCACCCCACTTCAGAGGAAGGATACTGCAAAATCCCCATTCCCTCCCCACTCCTGGGGATAGGATACTGCAAAATCTCCATTCCCACCCCATTCTGGGGCCAGTCAGAGGTGGTATTTGCTGGTTCTCCGAATTACTCAAAATTTCCGCTACTGGTTCTCCAGAACCTGTCAGAACCTGTTGGATTTCACCCCAATTATAATCCTTAGACAATGGGATATATATGTGCCCTTTACACCTGTGCTCAACAAAGGATGTATATCACACATCGGCCACAAGACTCTTTCAAAAGTAAAAGTCTAGCACCATTTTCCCCCCTGAATTTGCAGAAATTCTACAACCAGGTTTCTACCCCGCTTCTCAAAAAACTGGACTTCAACTATCCGGAAGGCTTGGTGTCTGACGTAACCCAGAGCAGCTTCCAACATTATTTTGGAGGGTCAGAGATTGTGGTGTCGGGAAAAGTTGACACTGAAAATGTGCAGCATTTGCAGAGCATGGTAACAGCCACAGCGGTAAGTCCACACTGATAGTAACCAAAAATGATGAGCTTGTAAAATGGTGGGAATTTTCTCAAGCTTTTATGAAGAAATTGTGAGTCTTCCGGACCGAAAGAGATTGTATGCAATATGAAGGACGGTTGCAGGAACTGGGTATGTCTAGTTTAATGAAAAGAAGGACTAGGGGAGACGTGATAGCAGTGTTCCAATACCTCAGGGGCTGCCCCAAAGAAGAGGGAGTCAAGCTATTCTCCAAAGCACCCGAAGGCAGGACAAGAAGCAATGGGTGGAAACTCATCAAGGAGAGAAGCAACTTAGAACTGAGGAGAAATTTCCTGACAGTTAGAACAATTAACCAGAGGAACATCTTGCCTTCAAGTTGTGGGTGCTTCATCACTGGAGGTTTTAAAGAAGAGACTGGACAGCCACCTGTCTGAAATGGTATAGGGCTGTGATAGGAGCCATATCTTTGGGCACGTGAGCGTTGCTCTAACTCAGCTCCAGCGTGCATGCGCATGCCGGCCAGTTGATTTTCAGGCCTTCTGGTCCCACTCGGAAGTAGGAAAACGGGTCTCGGGGGAGTGGGAGGCCGTTTTCGCCTTCCCCAGGCTCCAAGAAAGCCTCTGGAGCCTGGGGCGAGCGAAAAAACGGGCCTTCTGGTCCCACCGGAAGTTGGGAAATGGGCCGTTTCTGGCCTCCGAAGGGTCTCAGGTGGGTGGGGAAGGCCATTTTTGCCCTCCCCAGGGTCCCTCTGGAGCCTGGGCAGGGCGAAAAATGGGCCTACTGGGCCCACCGGTAACCTTTTTGCCATTGCATGCCAAAAGCAGGGGAGTGCGGGAGGGTCACGCATGCATGCGGGGGGTGGGGGTCGGGTGGGCGCGGGGGGCATTGAATTATGGGTGAAGGCACATACGCGCACGCGACCTCCCCTCCCCCCGCTTTTGGCACATGAGGGCAAAAAGGTTCGCCATCACTGGTATAGGGTGTCAGGTTTCGATGTCATCTCAAATAAAATAAATTGCATTTCCAAACAAATAGTCTTTGACGAAATCTTTCATTTTATTAAGCATGACAATCTGTCCCCGATTGTGGCGTAGCCAACACTGACTTCCTGACCCCAAACTTTCCCTTTCTGTTCCCCAATTCTCTGCGTCTCATTGGCCATGTTCCAAATCACTTTCCCCATATCTACTATTTCAGCTCCCAGGAATGTCCCCCCTTCCATCTCATGTCTTAGGGGATATTATCTTCAGGGAAAATAAGTAGGTGAGAAGTCAAGCGTCCTCTTGCCAGCTGCCCCCTCTTCTCCTTCTTATGTCAGCACTAGAGTAAATGAAGGTTGCAGTGCTGACATAGGGTTTCCTGCTTGAGCAGGGGGTTGGACTAAAAGACCTCCAATGTCCCTTCCAGCTCTATTCTGGTTGATTGATTGATTGATTAAATGTCCTTCTCCTGATATTTTTCCTCTAGCTAGAGAGAACCCACCTAGGTGACAGAAACAAGTTTATCTTGACTGATCATGAAATGTTAAGCAAGGTTAGAACTTGGATGAGAGATTCCAGGAAAACCTAGTACACTTCAGGTTGTCCTCTACTCGCAACCATTTGGTGACTGTTCAAAGTTACAATGATACTGAAAAAAACTGACTTATGACCATTTTTCACACTTATGACCATTGGAGCATCCTCATGGTCACATGATCAAAATCCAGACACTTGGCAACTGGCATGTCTAGGACGGTTGCAGTGTCCTGGGATCACATGATGTGATCTTCTTTTATGACCTTCTCAAAAACAAAGTCGATGGGGAAGCCAGACTCATTTAACAACAGTGAGATTGACTTAACAACTGCAGGGATTCACTTAACAACTGTGGCAGGAAAGGTCTTAAAATGGGTCAAAACTTAACCAATGTCTCGCATAACAACAGAAGTTTTTGGGCTCAATTGTGATTCACAAATCGAGGACTATCTGTGACCATTTAAGTGGACTGTGAGAAGCCCGAAATATTTTTTTTATTAAAAAAAGTTTTTTTATTTTACAAACAAACAAACAATACATAATCAATCATTCAATGTATCATCTAAGTACATCTTTCATATCTTGTTCTTACTCCTCCAATATTGTCATATCTTGATATTATCATTTCATTTATTATGACATTTCCCCCACATTTCTTACTTCTCTATTAATACATTTATCTATCTTTTTATTTTATTAATAATTTTTTGACAATTTTATTCCCACCAAACCTTCAACCCCCCCCTCCCCGCACCCCCCCGACTTCCCAGAGCAAAAACAGGGTATAACATTTAACAAACATAAGCTAAAATATGTTAACTTACTACAAGATTCAAAACTCCCTCACGCTCTTTAACTCCCCTTTTAAAAACAGGGTATAACATTTAACAAACATAAGCTAAAATATGCTTACTTACTACAAGATTCAAAACTCCCTCACGCTCTTTAACTCCCCTTTTAAAAATTATTCATCAACCTTCCTTTTATAAATTCTCTTATCACATTTCACATTTATTACTAAAATCCTTTCCATACCTTCTTTTTCAGCATTACTCCCTAATAAAATTCTAAATTAAACATTTATCCTCTTTGGTCATACATAAACCACTTGCCAATTTCTGATTGTTCAACATTACTCCCTTGTAAAATTCCAAGTTAAACATTTTAAAACTTTCTTTAAAGCATAAAAAAATAATAATATTATTAATCCATTGAGTTAAGAAGCCCGAAATATTGAAGTTGGCTTTGCTAGTTGATAACATGGCTTATTTCTCTGTTCGGTTTGGTTTTGTCAATCAGTCCAATGCGCAGTTAATCTTGGAGACCCTGGCAGATGTTGAGGGATTGGATGAGTTCCTGTACAAGGATAAGCACGCCGATCCCAAATTCACGGAAAAGTTGTGGGCCTACCTGACTGTCAACCAACTCATGGCTGAAAGGTAAGAAGGGAAGGCTGAGTTGGTTAGAAGGAACTTGGGAGAACATGTCTATGGAGATTCTCAGTCATCCAGGTCATGGTTGTCCCAAAAGTGCTTTTTTCAAGAGGCAACTGGACTTTCTGGTTTTTCTTTGAAGACGTTTCGCTTCTCATCCAAGAAGCTTCTCCAGATTTGACTGGATGGTGGGGAATGGAAGGATTTATACTCCTTGCAGACAGCTGCATAGGTGTGAAATGCTCCCGGTTCGGACCGGTAGCAATGGCAGTGGGTGGTTCGGAGAACCGGTAGCATTTTTTCTACAACCTCTTCGGCTGAAAAAATGCTTTTAGAAGTTTAAAAAAAAAAGCCTCTGATGATCGCGCGGCTCAGCTGGGATCGTCAGAGGCTTTTAAAGGCATTTTTTCTACAACCTCCTCAGCCGAAGAGGTTGTAGGGGGAAAAAAATCCCTTTAAAAGCCTCTGGCGATCCCAGCAGATTTGCCTGATCGTCAGAGGCTTCTAAAAGCAATTTTTTCTGCAACCTCTTAAGGTTGTAGAAAAAATGCTTTTAAAAGTTAAAAAAAAAAAAAGTTGGCCACGCCCACCCAGTCACATTACACCCCCCCAAAGCCACGCCCACAAAATAAGCCATGCCCACAGAACCTGTAGTAAAAAAAATTAGAAACCTGGTTAACTCTGATTAACCATTAACTCTGTTAATCTGTAATAACAACATGCCACATGGCATGACCAGCTGGTCACACAATCCACCGACCACAGGACCACATGAGATCAATAAAAGCGGAGAAAAACCAAAACAAGACTCTTCAACCGATGTCCTGCTGAGGATTTCACCTAGCCTGGTGACAAAACTTTCAGAAGCTATTCAGCAAGCCTGCTGAACAAACCCCCGCCAACATCTACTACCTGACCTACAAATATTTTCTATCATTTCTAACTTCAGTGGGGACCAAAATTCCCGTCGCTAAGCAAGGGGATTGTTTAGTGAGTCACGCCAAATCTTACAAGCTTTTGAGCCAGGGTTGTTAAGGGAATCACTAAGAGTCTTGGTAGTACAGTGGTCTAAGGCACCCTGTTATTAAGCTGGTTATTAAGACCAGATGCCTGCAATTACTGCAGGTTCGAATCTCGCCAAGGCTCAAGGTTGACTCAGCCTTCCATCCTTTCTAAGGTAGGTTAAATGAGGACCCAGTTTGTGGGGGCAATAAGCTGACTTTGTATAAATATACAAAAGGATGAAGGCTATTGCTTAACGCATTGTAAGCCGCCCTGAGTCTCCGGAGAAGGGCAGCATATAAATCAAATTGAAATAAAAAAATAAAAAATAAAAACTAGAGTTGTCGAGTGAGTTAAGCAGTCGTTAAGTGGTCCTTTGCTTTTGTTTTTGAATGCCGCCTAGAAACGTGGCTCCTTCTGCGGCCGTGAAAAGGAACATCACCAAGGCCATTTTGCAAATGTCGCTGGATCATCACATTGTGACCCCCTACACAGCTATGCTCATTGAGAGCCCAGATGGGGATGAGATGATGCTAGCCGACTCCCCTCAGGACCGCAAGAGAGCCTGTTGCCCAGGTGACCTTCTACCTGTCCCCGTCCAGATGTGAGATGGATGGAAGCAATTGAAGTTCATTATAATACATGTCTTTTCTCCCCCCCCTGCGTCGAAACAGGTGCTCTAACCATTGGACAGCCCAAGCCCGAGAAACCCATCCCTGCTTGGTCTCGGCACGGCTCCAAAGACCCACAATCAGCACTTATGGGTCCAACTGCAGCAGCTGTACATACAGGTAAAAGATGCTCCATCCATCTTCTCATCCTGTTCATTGGTGGGGTTCTCTCCACACGTTTCATCAGAACAGGGAGAGACCCACTGACTGTTTTGACATAATATATTAATCTTAACCAGTGGTGGGATTCACAAATCAAATAAAACAAAACAAACAAACCGGTTGTAACAACTGGTTCGCTTCGCGAACCCTCCGGAGGCAGGAAATGAACCCATTTCCAGACTTCCGGTACTTCCAATAGGCCTGTTTTTCACCCTCCCCAGGCTCCAGAAGCTTTCCTGGAGCCTCCAGGAGGGTGAAAACCGCCTCCCCAGGCACCGGAGGCCCGAAACAGGCCCATTTCCGGACTTCCGGTAGGCCCGTTTTTCGCCCTCCCAGATCCTCTGTGCGCGCCTTGCACTTACCTGGCATCCAAAACGGGCCACGTGGAGACTCCTTGGAGGGGAAGGGCAGGGTGGGCAGGGTCAGCCAGTCCTTGGAACAACCGGTTCGGCGAACCAGATTAAAATTAACATTCGGTTTGCCCAAACTGGGGCAAACCGGCTGAATCCCATCCCTGGCTTAACCCTCCAATGTGGGCTTTTGTGGCTTTGCAGGAAGTGTGAAGCTAGCCTGTTTTGTTTAGCGTGTGATTCGTGAGCACCGAACATTGGTGAATTCAGGAACCAAGAGAAGTATGGGATCCTCGGGGAATCTCTGAGCTTGGTGGTTTGCTGGCAGATGTTTCATTACCTAACTAGGGAACATCATCAGTTCTAGAAGGGAGTGGGGTTGTTAGATAGTGGCTAATCAGAAGCAAGAGGCAAGATAATGATAGTAACCCTGTGAGTGGCTTGGGCTGAGAGAGTGTGACTGGCCCAAAGTCATCCAGACAGCTTTCATGACTAAAGCAGCACTAGAACTCACAGTCGCCTGGTGATTGGCCCAAAGTCACCCAGCTGGCTTTCATGTCTAAGGCGGACTAGAACTCACCATCTCCTGGTGTTTGGCCCAAAGTTACCCAGCTGGCTTTCATGTCTAAGGCGGGACTAGAACTCACCATCTCCTGGTGATTGGCCCAAAGTCACCCAGCTGGCTTTCATGTCTAAGGCGGGGACTAGAACTCACCATCTCCTGGTGATTGGCCCAAAGTCACCCAGCTGGCTTTCATGTAAGGCGGGACTAGAACTCACCATCTCCTGGTGTTTGGCCCAAAGTTACCCAGTTGGCTTTCACACCTAAAAGCGGAACTAGAACTCATTATCTTCTGGTGATTGGCCCAAAGTCGCCCAGTTGGCTTTCATAACTAAAAGCGGGACTAGAACTCACCATCTCCTGGTGATTGGCCCAAAGTTGCCCAGTTGGCTTTCACACCTAAAAAGCGGGACTAGAACTCACCATCTCCTGGTGATTGGCCCAAAGTTACCTAGTTGGCTTTGTTGCCTTAGGCAAAATTATAACTCAAAGTCTCCTGGTGATTGGCCCATAGTTACCCAGCTCGCTTTGATGCCTAAAGTGCAACTAGAATTCACAGTCTCCTGGGTGCTTTAACCACTAGGCCAAACTTCCTCTCTTCCAGGGATTGTCTACTTGCCCCGCTTCTTACAATCATTCTGTATCGAAAAACTCGGTGTTTATTCTAACTTTTTTCCTAGACTTAGGTTTCCCTACTGCTTATTCACATCACTGACCGATATAAGAGAAATTATGCCTCCAGAGCCCTCTGCACTCAAAAATAGCCCCCCCACACACACACTTTTCATTGGGCTAATTATTATTACAATTAAAGAAAACCCCAGCCTGTCTGATTTTATGTACTGTAAGGCGTGTACAGGACAACCCTTAAGCTACTCCTCACTTACTGTGCTCTGTGTCAGGTTTCGAGGTCGTCTCAAATAAATTGCATTCTATTCTATTCTATTCTATTCTATTCTATTCTATTCTATTCTATTCTATTCTATTCTATTCTATTTTATTCTATTCTATTCTATTCTATTCTATCTTGTATACAGATAGTCCTCAACTTAAGACCACAAATTCTTAACGGTCTTCTATTAATTACAGGTCGTCCTTGACTTACAAACGTTTGTTTAGCGACCATTCAAAGTCACAACGTCACTGAAAAAAAGTGACTTATGACCGTTTTTCACATTAATGACCGTGGCAGCCTCCTCGTGGTCACGTGATCAAAATTCAGACAGTTGCCAATTGACTCATATTTACGACGTTTGCAGTGTCCCGGGGAGGGTCATGTGATCCCCTTTTGCAACCTTCCGACAAGCAAAGTCAACGGGGGAAAGCCCGATTCATTTAACGGCGGTGTGACCAACTATACCACTGCAGTGATTCGTTTAACAACTGTGGCAAGAAAGGTTGGACAACGGGGAAAAACTCACTTAAGAAATTAAGAAGGAAATTTTATTTATTTATTTATTTATTTATTTATTTAATTAATTTGTATACCGCCCTTCTCCCAGAAGGGACTCAGGGCGGTGAACAGCCAAAATTAAAAAACATACAAATACAAAAGTTAAGATAATTAAAAAAGAATTAAATCACTAGCTTCCCAATTTAAAACCCCCAAATCCATAAAATTTAAGATCCCAATTTAAAAACCATTTAGGCTAGGCCGGCTTGATGGAATAAAAACGTCTTCAGGGCCTTACGGAAAGTGCGGAGATCCGGGATCAGCCGTATTCCAGGAGGAAGCTCGTTCCACAGGGCGGGTGCCCCCACAGAGAAGGCTCTCCTCCTGGGGGCCGCCAGCCGACATTGCCTGACCGATGGCACCCTGAGGAGGCCCTCTCTGTGAGACCGTATTGGCCGGTGGGAGGTTATCGGTAGCAGCAGGCGGTCTTGCAAATACCCTGGCCCTAAGCCATGGGCTCAACATTCCAGAACTGGGAGTCAAGTTTTGAGCACTGCTTATTTTCTTGGCTGGTTTTTTTATCCCCTTTTTCTTTTAATCCAGACCACCCAGGTAGCCCGTTCCCTATCCTTCCACCATCACTTTCTTTAAACATATATTTTCTGTAACTATGAGAGTAGTTTGGAACGATGCCAACGGCAGCCGAGGGAAGAAATTTGGCGTATTTAAGAAAAAAGCCGTCAAGTGGAGCTGGGAAGCGGCTACTACATTATAAATAGACATCAGTCACTTTGGCAAGTCTGCTGTAATTCTGCTTTCACCCAAAGGAATCTGTAATCCATCATTTTTTGCCCCCGCCCGCCTGGCATTTAGCCTGTAAATGAGGGAGGGATAAAGTCAAAGAAGGGAAACGGGTTGCTTTTGCCATGTCTTGCGATTTGGATATTTGATGCAGGTTCAGAGTGAAGAAAAGGGCAGAAATTGCTGATTTTTTGCCTGGAACATTCCTAAGGCTTTATTATTATTATTATTATTATTATTATTATTATTATTATTATTATTTATTGGTTAATCTTTAGTGAGATTCACAGCCTTTGGGGCTGGTTAATAGCTCAGCAGCTCGAGTCCTAACCAAGGACCTAGGAACTGTTAAGGTATCGTCGGAGGATGTAAGCTGTTCCGAGTAAGGTGGTTTTTTGTAGAGTCAAAATGTTCAAGTCCGGCAAATTTAGAATTTCTAAATAGCGGGGTAGCCCTTTGGGTATTGCTCCAATTACTATTATTATTTAATTTAACTATAATTATCCAATTATTATTATTATTATTATTATTATTATTATTATTATTATTATTATTATTATTTTGGGGAGTAAGATCCTTGGGGATTTCTTTCATCCTTTCAGAAAAGCACAGAGCTTGTTGGGAGCCGCGTCCTCTCCTAATTTAGCAAGATCAAAATTTCTAGCTTGGAGTTTTTTTTTCAACCGTGGTGACTTTAAGACCTGTGGACTTCAATTCCCAGAATTCCCCAGCCAAGATGGCTGGCTGGGGAATTCTGGGAGTTGAAGTCCACTCGTCTTAACGTCCTCAAGGTTGGACACTGGTGGTCTAGCAATTGGCCCCTTGTGGATGTAACCCAGGGGTGAAATGCTCCCGGTTCAGACTGGATCGCCCGATCCGGTAGCGATGGCGGAGGGTGGCTCGGAGAACCAGTAGCAAAAATCCCTGTGCCCCACCCACCTACCATGCCCAGCTGAGCCGCAGGATCATCAGAGGCTTTTTTTTTTTTTACTACTTTTAAAAGCATTTTTTCTACAACCTCTTCCCACGAAAAAATGCTTTTAAAAGTAAAAAAAAAAAAGCCTCTGATGATCGCACGACTCAGCTGGGATCGTCAGAGGCTTTTCAAAGCATTTTTTTCTGCAACCTCTTGGCCGAAGAGGTGGTAAAAAAAAATGCTTTGAAAAGTCTCTGACGATCCCAGCTGAGTTGCCTGATCGGCAGAGGCTTTTCAAAGCATTAGAAAAAATGCTTTGAAAAGTAAAAAAAAAAAAAAAAAAAAAGTTAGCCACGCCCACCCAGTCACATTACACCCCCCCACCAAGCCACGCCCACAGAACTGGTAGTAACAAATTTTACATTTCACCCCTGATGTAACCCCAATCCTAGAAACAGCAATAATAGCAATTTTTTTTTCTGCTGATGCAATAATAGTATCCTTCACATTGCTAAAACAAAAGCAAATCTAATTAGATTGTTCTGGAAAATTTTCATTGCTAAGCAAGACAGAGATGCTAAGTGAGTTCCGCCCCATTTTACGACCTTTCCTGTCACAAATCTTAAGTGAGTCGCTGCAGTTGTCGGTAACCCAGCTGCTAAGTGAATCTGGCTTCCGCATCGACTTTGCTTCGACTCCAACTTCGAAGTTGTGGGTGCTACATCACTGGAGATTTTTAAGTGCAGGGGGTTGGACTAGAACAGAGGTGTCAAACTCAAGGTGCGTGGGCTGGATCTGGCCCGCGGGGTGCCTTAAAATCTGGGCCGAGGCCCAGCCTGCAAATATCAGGGGACTGACCCACGTGCCTCTGCTGGGCAAAACGAGCTGTGTAGGAGGTTGTGTGCGGTCCCCATGTGGCCCATTTTCGGCCTCCAAGGCCTCCTGCAGCACTCTGCCCACCCCACACCCAGGGGTGAAATGCTCTCGGTTCAGACCGGATCACCCAATCTGGTAGTGATGGTGGCGGGTGGTTCGGAGAATCAGTAGCAAAAATCCCTCCCCCCCCATGCCCAGCTGAGCCGCGTGATCCTCAGAAGCTTTTTTTTGTTGTTGTTACTTTTAAAAGCATTTTTTCTACAACCTCTTCGGCTGAAGAGTTTTAAAAGTAAAAAAAAAAAGCCTCTGAGGATCGCGCGGCTCAGCTGGGATCGTCAGAGCTTGACAATCAGGCAACTCAGCTGGGATCGTCAGAGCCTTTTAAAAGCATTTTTTTGTACAATCAGTTTGGCCGGAGAGGTTGTAGAAAAAAAAAAAAAAGCCTTTAAAAGGTAAAAAAAAAAAAGAGCCTCTGACGATCACAGCTGAGCAGCGCGATCATCAGAGGCTTTTTAAAATTATTTTTAAAAGCAATGCTTTTAAAAGTAAAAAAAAAAAGATTGTGCGCCACGGCTGATCACCCCACCCTCGCGCGCTGTTCTACTTCTCGCATGCCTCCTTTTGGCGTGTACTGTGTGTGCGCACCTTGCATTTGATGAATTGTGCACACTGCACATACGTAGCCAGCGAACTGGTAGTAAACCAGTTCAGATTTCACCACTGCCCCCCCCCCCTGACTATGCCCCCCCCCCTCTCCCCACTGGCCCTCCCAGGTCAAACACAACCCCGATGTGGCCCTCAATGAAATTGAATTTGACACCCCTGGACTAGAAGGACCTCCAAGGTCCAGCTCTAATCTGATTGATTAATTGTTATGAATTGTTCATCCCATTCGTTTCCATTTATCTAAACAGGGCCCATAGTTATTGGCCAAGAACCAACAGACAACTCCATTCCATCCTGGGCGAAGCCCACAAAGAAATCTGGAGGTCCTTTACCTGCTATTATGGGTCCAACCTCTGCCATAGATGCAGGTAACGAATGTTGAGCTGACTGCCCTTTTCCCAAATGTGAATTAATCCCATTCATTTGTTCCCCAGGAAGGTACATATCAAAATCCACTCGTATGCTAACATCCAAAGTAATTTGCCATCCAGGAAATATTGCACAAAACATTGGCATATTAAGCAAAGGTACTTGCTTGTAAAAATACAGGTAGTCCTTGACTTACAACAATTCATTTAATGAAAAAAAAGTGACTTTTGACTATTTTTCAGAGTTACGACCGTTTCAGCATCCTCACAGTCACATGATCAAAATTTGGAAGCTTCATATTTATGACGGTTGCAGTGTCCCAGGGTCACGTGATCCCCTTTTGCGACCTCCTGACAAGCAAATTCAATTGGGAAAGCATGATTCACTCAACAACCGAATTACTAATTTAACAACTGCAGTGATTCACTTAACAAACGAGACTAGAAAGATTGGGGCAAAACTCACTTAACGTATGTTTCATTTAGCAACTTAAAGTTTGGGCTCAATTGTGGTCATATGTTGAGGACTACCTGTGTACACGCTTTTAGAAGTGACAGAGAAAAAGAATGTTTATAGAAAGATAAAGATTTTTTTTTGTAATGTAACTGGATGTAGAAGTGGAGTCTAAATCAGGGCATCCAACTTTTGATAACTTTAAGACTTGTGGATTTCAATTCCCAGGATTCCCCAGCCCGCCATGCAAATCTCTGCAAATTCAGAAAAAGAATAAGCATCAGAAGTTTGCTTTTGAAACACACTTGTACCCGATGTGTGATATATACCCCCCTATCCAGGGGTAAAATGCCCCCGGTTTGGACCGGATTGCCCGATCCGGTAGTGATAGAGGCGGGTGGTTCAGAGAACCAGTAGCAAAAATCCCTGCCCTCCCCCATGCCCAGCTGAGCCGCGCGATCGTCAGGTTTTTTTATTTTTTATTTTTAAAAGCATTTTTTCTACAACCTCTTCTGTAGAAAAAATTCTTTTAAAAAGAAAAAAAAAAAAAAAAGCCTCTGACGATCCCAGCTGAGTTGCCTGATCAGCAGAGGCTTTTTTTCTTTTAAAAGCCTCTGCCGATCAGGCAACTCAGCTGGCATCGTCAGAGGCTTTTAAAAGTATTTTTTTACAACCTCTTTGGCTGAAGAGGTTGTAGAAAAAATGGTTTTAAAAGTAAAAAAAAAAAAAGTTGGCCACACCCACCCAGTCACATTACCCGCCCCCCCCCACCAAGCCACACCCACAGAATTGGTAGTAACAAATTTTAGATTTCACCACTGCCGCCATCAATGGTGGGATTCAACATTTTTTACTACCGGTTCTGTGCTTGGTGGGCATAGTGTGGCTTGGTGGGCGTGGCAGGGGAAGGATACTGCAAAATCTCCATATCCACCTCACTCCAGGGGAATGATACTGCAAAATCCCCATTCCCTCTCCACCCCACTAACCAGCTTTCCAGCTCCGTTCTCCTCTGCAGGGGAATGCATGGGGACTCCTGAAAGGGGCAGGGGCAGGGCCAACCAGAGGTGGTATTTGCCGGTTCTCCGAACTACTCAAAATTTCTGCTACCGGTTTGCTAGAACCAGTCCGAACCGGCTGAATACTGCCCCCCTCCCCCACCCCGTTGAGGACAGGTGTAAAGGGCACACATCTATCCCATTTCCTAAAGATCGTAATCCGTTCACAATAAAACTAGAGGAAAAGAAAGTAGAGGAAGTTTGGAGTAGTAGTTAAAGGACTGCCTAGAAACCAGGAAACTGTGAGCTCGAGTCCTTAAGCATGAAAGTGTTGCTGGCTGGGGAATTCTGGGAGTTGAAGTCCACAAATCTTGAAGTTGGCAAATTTGGACACCCTTCGTTTAAATACTACATCGCCATTGCCAGAAAGATTTTTATAACCAGGAATAAACGTGTCTCATTTTTATCTGAACTATATTTCCTCCAGAAGAATTGACTGCAACCCGGCGAGATCATTAGGTTTAATCCACTGTCTTCATCCTCCACAGGATCTTTCATTTTAGGGCACCAAAAACCTGGTAATTCCAGCATCTTGTCCAAGAACCCAGATGACGCCAAGAGAATACATTCAGGTAGAAGAAAATTGTGCCTACTCTATGTTTTACTCTATCATCATCTTTTAACGATCCCATAATCCCTTGCAAGGTGGAGTCTGGGCAAATGAATGGAGGTAGCAGAGTGTTTAATGGCCGGATGCCTTTCCTGTCGCCAATGGGGAGTTTTGTTCAGCAGATATATCCTCATTGTGCCCAGAGAGAGAAATATCTGCCTCTACCTAGGATCGAACTCACAGCCTCCTTTTTTTTTTTTTTTTAATTTTGATTTATATGCCGCCCTTCTCCGAAGACTCAGGGCAGCTTACAATGTGCTCAGCAATGTGCTCCTGATTGTGAGGCGAGAGCTCCACCTGACTGAGGCGAGAGCTCCACCTCTAGGCCATCGCACCATTCCTTCTATGTTTTACTCTATATAGGAAGGAATCTTATATAGGCACTTTGAGCCAAGCCCACTGACTTCTGGTGGGCCTGGCAGGCCCAATTTTCACCATCCCCAGGCTCCAGAAGCCTTCCTGGAGACTGGGGAGGGCAAAAACGGCAGAGGCCCTCTGAAGGCCGAAAACACCTTCCCAGAGCCTCCATGCGAGCTCTGTACTTACCTGGCATCCAAAATGGGCCACGTGGAAACTCCTTGGAGGAGGGGGGGCGGCATGGGTGGACCCAGCCGAAAATCAGCTGGCCGGCGCACATGCGCTAGGGCAACGTTCGCGTGCCCGCAGATATGACTCCGCATGCCATAGGTTCGCCATCACAGATATAGGACATAGAATAATAGGGTTGGAAGGGATTTTGGAGGTCTTGCCTAGTCCAAATCACTGCTCGAGCAGGAGACCCTACACCACTGTTGGTAAACCATTTTGGCACCAAGTGCTGATACGGGAGTGTGGGCAGGCAGGGGAGCACCGAAAACCGGAAGAGCAGCTCTCTGGCGCGCACATATGAGAGCAACAGAAACCGGAAGAGCAGCTCCCTGATGTACATGCACATGCCGGGAAGCTGACCTTCCAGTTTCCAGCATGCTCATCAGGGGTGGGTTCTAATTTTTTTTACTACCGGTTCTGTGGGCGTGGCTTATTTTGTGGGCGTGGCTTGGAGGTCATGTGACTAGGTGGGCGTGGCTAGCTGGTCAGAGTCATTTCTGGAAGGTCCTCGCACCTACGACCAGTCCTCGCACTTACGACCCGACTCATTTGTTTGCTTTTAACACTGATCAGCTGTAGGGCGGCCCTTTGAAGCCCCGCGGCAAGAGTTTAAACAGTTTTTTTCCCTCTAGTCATCAGCTGGGACTCAGGAGGCAGCAATAGATTGGGGTTGGGATCAAATAAAAGGTAAGAATAACGTGGGTTGGTGGGGGGGGGAGAACCGGTTCGGTGACGTCATATCGTCACTGCTACCGGCTCGACCGAACCGGACTGAACCGGGAGGAACCCACCACTGATGTGCATGCGTTCCAGTCACCTGGTCTTCCAGTTTCTGGCATGCAAGCATGCACAAAGACTAGAAGGCTGGTGCACATGCGCGTGCTGGAAACCGGAAGCTCAGCTTCCTGGCACACAGATGTATGCCAGGGAGCTGCTTTTCCGGTTTCCGGTGCTCCCAACGTGCGACGGCTGGCATGTCCGGAGAGATAGCTCTGCGTGCCACTTCCGGCATGCACGTCCCTATACCATCCTGAACAAATGGTTGTCCTATCTTTTCTTTAAAAACTCCACCCACAACTTCTGGAGGCAGGTTGTTCCGCTGGTTAATTGCTCTAACTGGCAGGAAATTTCTCCTTAGTTCTAGGTTGCTTCTCTCCTTGATTAGTTTCCACCCGTTGCTTCTTGTCCTGCCTTCAGGTTCTTTGAGGAATATCGATTGTCCAATCCTGCTGACTTTTGCGGAAACCAGCATGAGTGGACAATCATTCTGAAATCGTTTGGCCGCAGATACCCCATGTAAGACAGTGGTGGGTTTCAAATTTTTTTACTGCCGGTTCTGTGGGTGTGGCTTGGTGGGTGTGGCTTGGTGGGTGTAGCAGGGAAAGGATACTGCAAAAGCCCCATTTCCTCCCGATCAGCTGGGACTTGGGAGGCAGAGAATAGATGGGGGCGAGGCCAGTCAGAATTTTTACTACCGGTTCTCCGAACTACTCAAAATTTCCGCTACCAGTTCGCCAGAACTGGTCAGAACCTGCTGAAACCCGCCTCTGATGTAAGACATGTAATATATTTAGGAAGGTCTGTTTCGCGTTCTTTGAGGCATCCCTTTTGTCTTTGATTGCAGTGGACAACGATCCCCATTTCATCATCACCCTCCCAAGGCAACAGAAGAACATCTGCTTCAATATTGACTCTCAACCTGGGGCCATCCTGAGTTTAATTTCAGACGCCGAGTCCAGTAAGAGAAATGCACAATCCGTTCTGGGTTAATTGAGAGACATCAATAGCAGGCTTGGGGGAAAGGTTTTCTCAATCTGAAATGTGAAACCAAGTCAAAAGCTAGCAAAATCTCTCTGAGATACAAGCCCCTAGCCTCTGAGTTGGGGATAGAGTGCTCAGGTCTCCTGAGGCTCAGACTTGGAGATGTAGCTCTGGTTACATCATAAGCAGTAACCATGGATGGGGTTAGCATCCTTCATAAACATCCTAACTTACTTCTTTCTTTCTTTCTTTCTTTCTTTCTTTCTTTCTTTCTTTCTTTCTTTCTTTCTTTCTTTCTTCTCCTCCTCCTCCTCCTCTTCCTCCTTTCCTCCTTCTTTCTCCTCCTCCCTCCCTCCCTCCCTCCCTCCCTTGCTATTCTTCTTCTTCTTCTTCTTCTTCTTCTTCTTCTTCTTCTTCTTCTTCCTCCTTCTTCTCCTCCTTCTTCTCCTCCTCTTCCTCCTTTCCTCCTTCTTTCTCCTCCTCCCTTCCTCCCTCCCCCCTTGCTATTATTCTTCTCCCCCTCCTCTTCATTCTCATTATTCTCCTCCCTCCTCCTCCCTCTTTCTTCCTTCTTTCTCCTTCTCCCTCCCTTCCTTCCTATTCTTTCTTATTCTTCTCCCTTCTCCTCATTCTCATTATTCTTCTCCTCCCTCTTCCTCTCCCCCTCCTCCTTTCTTCCTCCTTTCTCCTTCTCCTCCTCCCTCCCTCCCTTCCTATTCTTTCTTATTCTTCTCCCTCCTCCTCATCCTCATTATTCTTCTCCTCCCTCTTCCTCTCCCCCTCCTCCTTTCTTCCTCCTTTCTCCTTCTCCTCCTCCCTCCCTCCCTCCCTTGCGCGTGCTGGAAACCGGAAGCTCAGCTTCCTGGCACACAGATGTATGCCAGGGAGCTGCTTTTCCGGTTTCCGGTGCTCCCAATGTGCGACGGCTGGCATGTCCGGAGAGATAGCTCTGCGTGCCACTTCCGGCATGCATGTCCCTATACCATCCTGAACAAATGGTTGTCCTATCTTTTCTTTAAAAACTCCACCCACAACTTCTGGAGGCAGGTTGTTCCGCTGGTTAATTGCTCTAACTGGCAGGAAATTTCTCCTTAGTTCTAGGTTGCTTCTCTCCTTGATTAGTTTCCACCCGTTGCTTCTTGTCCTGCCTTCAGGTTCTTTGAGGAATATCGATTGTCCAATCCTGCTGACTTTTGCGGAAACCAGCATGAGTGGACAATCATTCTGAAATCGTTTGGCCGCAGATACCCCATGTAAGACAGTGGTGGGTTTCAAATTTTTTTACTGCCGGTTCTGTGGGTGTGGCTTGGTGGGCGTGGCATGGCTTGGTGGGCGTGGCTTGGTGGGTGTGGCAGGGGAAGGATATTGCAAAATCTCCATTTCCTCCCGATCAGCTGGGACTTGGGAGGCAGAGAATAGATGGGGGCTGGCCAGTTAGAATTTTTACTACCGGTTCTCCGAACTACTCAAAATTTCCGCTACCGTTCGCCAGAACTGGTCAGAACCTGCTGAAACCCGCCTCTGATGTAAGACATGTAATATATTTAGGAAGGTCTGTTTCGCGTTCTTTGAGGCATCCCTTTTGTCTTTGATTGCAGTGGATAACGATCCCCATTTCATCATCACCCTCCCAAGGCAACAGAAGAACATCTGCTTCAATATTGACTCTCAACCTGGGGCCATCCTGAGTTTAATTTCAGACGCCGAGTCCAGTAAGAGAAATGCACAATCGGTGCTGGGTTAATTGAGAGACCTCAATAGCAGGCTTGGGGAAAAGGTTTTCTCAATCTGAAATGTGAAACCAAGTCAAAAGCTAGCAAAATCTCTCTGAGATGGAAGCCCCTAGTTGGGGATAGAGTGCTCGGGTCTCCTGAGGCTCAGACTTGGAGATGTAGCTCTGGTTACATCATAAGTAGTAACCATGGATGGGGTTAGCATCCTTCATAAGCATCCTAACTTCTCCTTCTCCTTCTCCTTCTCCTCCTCCTCTTCCTCGTTTCCTCCTTTTTTTCTCCTCCTTTCTTCCTTTCCCTCCTCCTCCTCCTCCTCCCTCCCTCCCTCCCTTGCTATTCTTTCTTATTCTTCTCCCTCCTCCTCCTTTCTCATTCTTCTTCTCCTCCCTCCTCCTTCCCCCTCCTTTCTTCCTTCCTTCTCCTCCTCCGCCCCACTCCTTTCTACCTTCCTCCTCCTCCTCCTCCTCCTCCTCTCTCCCTTGCTATTCTTTCTTATTCTTCTCCCTCCTCCTCCTTTCTCATCTCCTCCTCCTCCTCCTCTTCCACCTCTTCCAATTCTTCTTCTTCTTCTTCTCCTTCTCCTCCTCCTCCCTCCCTCCCTTGCTATTCTTCTTCTTCTTCTTCTTCTTCTTCTTCTTCTTCTTCTTCTTCTTCTTCTTCTTCTTCTCCTCCTCCTCCTCCTCCTCCTCCTCCTCCTCCTTCTCCTCCTCCTCCTCTTCCTCCTTTCCTCCTTCTTTCTCCTCCTCCCTTCCTCCCTCCCTCCCTTGCTATTCTTTCTTATTCTTCTCCCTCCTCCCCCTCACTCA